AAAAAAAAAAAAAAAAAAAACGACTCAACACACGAGATATAGACTCTCATCATAATACTAAGGGACATATTAGTATGAACTATAATATTATTGGCCGACCTAGGCCGCTTTTACAAAATCCAATTCTTGCATATTTCTCCATTTCTTTCTGTTCGACATTTGAGGAATTTGCATCCCATACTATCAAATATATTTTATATTACAAATTTACACTTAATTAATATCTATTTGCAAAGATACAAAATCACCCCAACATAATTGCGTATATACTAGAATTTAAGTCAACTTATCCTTTAATTAGGGAAGGAGACCGATTACACGGGATTTTATACATTAACTCTCCTTCTATTCTCTCTCATCTCTCCCTATATCATGCATCACGTGGAACCCAAGTGCAGTAAAATTTACAGACGTTCGCATAAAAACAAGATCTACAGGCAATAAAAAAGGAGAAATTCAGAAGCCTGCAAAATAGTCACCGATTGACCACCTTGCCGAAAGCAACAGACACGAGGAACGCGGTGTAGAAGAAGAAGATGAAGATGCAGAAAGATCGGACGGTGGAGGCCATGCCGCCGTCTGTACCAAGCCCCTATCGAATCTGAATCGATAATCGGAAAAGACCCTTTTGAATATGTTCGGATCTCTCGAGGAAAATTTGGATTTTGTGACAGGGAAAGTCTTTGGTTTGATTTGCTATTTTTCAGGTCATCATCTTGATCCAATCTACGGTGGTGAATCTGAGGAGAATTCTCAGTGGGCAGTTCAAATCTGGGTTTATGACCCGCCCTAGTGTTACTGTGAGACTGTGTGAAAAGGCCTGCAACTTCGGCGAGTAACTGAAGTGCAAATACCTGAAATTGGTCCACCCGAAAATAGAGTTTTCATTTTGCGGGAACTTGAGCCGAAGGAAGACGATGGGCTCCAGGGGGTTTTTGGTGGGGGAGTTCTTTGCAGTGTTCGTCGAGGTTTATCGGCGGGCCTGGCTCCTGCACCGCCTAGCGTTCTCGTTCGATGTGGAGGTTCGGGTGTTTCTTCTCGGACGGCACGTATATGTTGAGTGCAGTTTATAGACATTTTACGTCGGGATTATTTACAGTTTGCTCAGACGGCACGTATATGTTGAGTATGTAGACAGTATATATATTTTCAGTTTATAGACATTGTTATGTTCGGTATGCATTGTTTATAGTATGCATTTCTTTTGATTTTTTTTTTTTTGCAATAAGTAACTTGTTATAATTTGTGTATAAATCTATATATATACTTTTTGTTAATGGATGTTTGTTTTTTATGTTTTCAATGTTTTATCTATAGTTTATGTTTAGTATATCAGAAGATTTTTTTGTTGAAAACGAATTCGACAGAACATAAACTGATTTGTTTTTTGTGTATATGTACGGTTTATACTCAGTATACTTTCGGTATATGATAAAGAAATTTATCGTGAGACATAATTTTATATACCATTAATAAAAACTATCAATTCATGTACATTTCGATAAACTTTAAACTTAAAAAAAAATGAAAAATAAAAAAGGGAAGACATAACTTTTTATAGAAGACATGTTTTCATTACAATATATATTGAATAACACTAATATAAACGCAATATATACCCACCTGGATAGCGTGAATTACAATACATATTTTTATCGATCTCTATTATAAACGTACAAGCTGCGCAAATTAAAGAATTAAAGGAGTCAATTATTTATTATATGCATATTTTCATTTCTCTTTCTTAATCAAGCGCATAAAAGAGGGATAGAGGTTGATAGGATATGGTAACTGACTTAATACATTAATATAGATAAATAAAGTGTTTTCGTTAGGGACACAATTATTTCTACTTGTATGGTAGAGTTGCAATTAAGTTAAAATGACGTAGCAGACTTAAAATTTCCCTCAAACTTTTGCACGACAGAGGAGCATATTAACCTGAATTAAGTATCCGAAAATCCAACTCAAAATACTCTTGAATTTCTAATTAATCGTTGATCTAAACGTCCATCAACAAACTAATAGTCAAGCATAATCATACTATTAAAAGTAGACTGTATTAAGTCTCTTTGCATTTTAGTGAATTTTGTTAATTTTACATAGTTTTTTACATGTCATTCAAGACTTAAGTTTATTTACATATCACATAAACAAGACTAGTCTCTTTGCATTGGAATGAATTTTGTTAATTTTACATAGTTTTATCCATGTCATTTAAGACTTCAATTTATTTACATGGCACATAAACAAGACTTGACCCAATACATTGATGCTCTAACATTTGTCCAAAACCAACTCAACCTACCCCGCAAAAGCCTCGATTATTCATATCTATACTTATATAATAAGAACTAACATTTATCCAAAATAGTAGGTCAAATTATGGTCAATGTCGGATTTGCATTAAATATTTTTCAAAACTGGTAAGTTTTTGTCCTTTTCACACTTCTCATTAATTATGTCTTTTTCACACTTCTCATTAATTATGTCCTTTTCACACTTCTCATTAATTATGTCATTTTCACACATCTAATTAATTCATTAATTACGACATAATTATCATAAATCATTCCATCTGAGCTTTTATCGTTAAAATGTATAGCGATCTGTTATAACCTTATCCCATTGATATTTCCATGAAGCGTTCTTATCGCGTTCTATTTTTTGGTAACCAATCTATATCAATAATCGGATATTTGGTTAATGATAGCACACGTCTTTATTTCAAGGAGCGGATATTCTTTGACCTTTAATTAATCTGAACTGATTGCCTTGATTTTTCAATTTTTAAAAATTCTTTTTAAATATTTCGGCTTAAGATTCGGATTTTATTATACAAGTCATCGGATTGTTTGAATGAAAAGAACACCAAAAACAGGTAGTCTTATTCATATAACCAATCCTAAAATATTAGTTTGTTCATCAAAAAGAGACAAATCTTAGAAATCCCAAAATATTAGTTTGTTCACCAAAAATATTAGTTTGATTTTTAGGATTTGTCTCTTTTGAAAATATTAGTTTGTGATAATGAGGAGTTACCAAATAATCAAACTCATAATGTTGTGTACAAGGAGGTTTTTAATAATATATGATTGTTACCGAACTTTTTATAATTCAACAATGTTCCTATGTATTTTAATGATTTCAATTTCGATCCTAATGCATGTGAGGCTATATTATTTTTTCAAATTTTACATCCCGTGCATCCCACGGGTTACGTACTAATTTTACTTAATAGTGAATAGTGAAAACCCGGGTGAGTGGTGGGGCCCATCTATCGATCTCCGTAATTTCGAAGGAAGCTGTTATCCAAGTACAACGCACTGCTGACTCATCATGCGCCCAGCCGATAAAAATAAAATATCAATTTGTTTAATGTTTTTATTTTATTTTAGTTTTCCATTTTGTTTTCCCCTCCAAAATTAGACGAACAGCTGGATGGATGGACAGACAATAAGCTTATTTTTAATTAAAGATTAATGATGATAATAATAATTATTATTTCCTTTTAGCGAGAAAAAAAAAATGACACGAAAGGTATAAAATAGTTATTTGATGGAATTTCAGTTAAGGACTTATAGCTTCTGAATTCTCAGGGAAGGACTCTCCGGCGGTTATAAATACCGCCCGTTTTCTTTCGCCATATCCACACCTCCAACTTTCTCGATATTGTATTCACACCCCTCCACTTACATTTTATTGCTATCTTCTCCAATTTTGGGCTCATTTTTCCTCCAAGGATGACGGTCATCGTCGATCAACCTGAGATTGGTATTATTATTATTATTATTATTATTATTATCATTATTTTGTTGCTTTTTAGTTTATTTTTTAGGTAATTATAATTATTAGTAGAATTATGTTCAAATTATAAAATGTTGCACTTATATTTTATTTAGTTTTATGTTTTTTAGTTAGATCGATGCTTTTCTTGCTCTCTCTCTTTTTTTTTTTTCTGTGTGGGTGTGTGTTTGTTTGTTTGTTTGTTTTTTCTGTTTCTTTTCTTTTTATTTGTCAATATTTTGTCATATTATCCTTACTGTTAATTGCCATAATTTGTATTTTCTTTTTACAATTAGATGTTGTTATTTAATTTGATTCATATAATTAACAGGAACTCAAGTGGAGGAAAGGAAGAATATTGGGAAACGGAAATCTAAAAAGGAGTTAACCTTTGACGGAGGATTTGTGGTGCCAAATGCCAATACATTTGGCCATAACTTTAGGTCCTTTTTTCACTCTCCCAATTATTTAAATAATAATAATTGAGATGTTAATTTAACTTATAATTAGTAGGGTCTATTCACATGAGATTTCGAGTGATATTTTGAGACTTTAAAAAATAAAAATTGAGATTTGTCAGATTTTGGAGAAATTTCGTGAAATTTTAGGTCTGGATATGAGATTTGAGTATAAGGTTTTTTGTTTAGAAATCCCATAAAATTTTATAAGACTTTTTAAAATCTCAATTGAATACCCAAGGATTTTTAAAAGTTTTAACAAATTTAAATTGAATATACCAGAATTTCTAAAATTTTAAAAAATTCATAAAAATCTTAATTGAATACACTCCCTTAGTATTGGTAGATTTAACACACAAATTATATGGGTAACAGAAATTATCACACTCTCAATATTTTTACATTTTTATTATATAAACTTGAAGAAAAAAAAAAGTTGCAAGTAAAAATTGCTACAGTGACGGTTGTGCACATTCGGGTGTGTTTGTATATGAAAAAATTCAATTCATTTTCAAATATAATTTAAATTTAACTCAACTCCACTATTTTCAATATTAATAATATAATTAAATAATACCAACTAATCACTTACGTATCACACCAAATTTAATTTACTACTCATCATTTCACATAATTTTAACTAACCATCAATTTATACAATATCTCTCATTGAATCAACTTTAACTATTTTATTTTCAATGTCATTTTAATACAAAAATATAATCCAACTAACAATTAACTATACCACTTTTGTTAAATTAATTTTAGTTAACTAAAAACGTTCATTTTGAATGGAATTATTTATATGCAAACACGCTTTCAATTTAAACCCTGTAAAATTTTAACGCATACGATAGAATGAATAAAATACACAAATTTTTTCACTAATTTCGGCTATGCAGAGATCAATTTCACTGGATTTATACTCCGTCAAATAAAAAAAAAAATGCTTTTTTTGGGTTCATATAATTTTATCATTCTGAAAAAAAACAAAGAAAAAAATAGAGAAAGATCTGATTTACACGAGTAATCCTTCAAGAAAATGTTTTATAGTAATTTTCCATTTACTAGCAGATATGGGCCTGAGTAAATTGTCTATTCTTTGGGCCCAAGCCTGGTAAATATTTGTAGGTAGGCTATTGTAACCCATATTGCTAAAGCCCAATAAATATATTAATTTATAATAAATTTAGTAAATCCTTATTNNTTAATTTTGGTAAAATGTGAAACAGGGATTATGAGGCTGAAAGTGAGAGGCAAGAAGGTGTGGAAATTTTTTACAAGACCAATCACATCAACCAAACTCTTGAGTTTGTAAGTAATAATTGGACAATATTATATGTTTTTCCTTTACTTTTTTTTTCCCCATTTTAAATTATTTTTTTCACCATATTTCTTTTTTATAAATTTCATTATTAGGTGAAGAAAATGAGGGAAGAATATAGAAAATTGGACAAAATTGAAATGAGTATTTGGGAATGTTGTGAGTTGCTCAACAGTGTTGTTGATGAGAGTGACCCTGATTTAGATGAGCCTCAAATTGAGCATTTGCTACAAACTGCTGAGGCTATAAGAAAAGATTATCCTAATGAGGATTGGCTTCATTTGACTGCCCTTATCCATGGTAAATTATTTAATTAATTTCACAATTAATTGTATAATTAGTTATGTAAATTCTAGTTACTATTTTTATTTATTGGATTATACTAATTTGGTGTTCCTTATTGCAAATTGGTGGTTTAGATCTTGGGAAGGTCCTTCTTCTCCCTGGATTTGGTGAGCTTCCACAATGGTCTGTTGTAGGTAAGCAAAATAAAGATTGTTTTGTACAGTACAAACCTCTTTTTGGGCCAAGTAAGAGGTTTGAAGTTAAATTAGAAATTTGTCAAAATATCTTATTTTATTGCATAGTGGGTAGCATTTTGAAATAGTTTTTTAAAATCCAAAATCCTTTGATAAAGTTCAATATAGAACTTTTTGAAATAAAAATGTTGTAATTTTAGTTAATTATTTAACCAAACACTTTGAATAATCAACTAATTTAATCAACTGATCAAATCGACTGATTCAATAATCAACATGCTATTAGCTTATTGAATCAGTCCTTTGTTATCCGTTAAGTGTCAAACAAAACCAAAAACTAGATTTAAATGTTGTTAATAAAGTTCTATTCTTGTTTTTGTCTATTTAAAAATGAGAAACATTGTTTTATTTATGTGTAGGTGATACTTATCCTGTTGGCTGTGCATTCGATGGTTCCATTGTGCATCACAAGGTCCGTATTTTAATTACTTAATCTATTTAAGTTTCATGAAATTAAATATTCAATTACTGAATTAAAATGCTTAATATAAGGTTATAACTCTGAAAATGTATTTATTTATAGTATTTCAAGGAAAATCTGGACTACTATAATCCAACTTATAATACCAAATTCGGAGTTTACGAGGAAGGCTGTGGACTGGACAATGTGTTCATGTCATGGGGCCATGATGATTACATGTATCTGGTATGGTTTTTATTTTAATTATTTTAGGACATTCATAAATGTTTTTCTATTATTTATTTGTAGATGAAATTAAAAAATTTCGAAGGGAAATTGCAAAATATGTTGGACAAACAATAATTTTATTTATCAACTTCTTTTGATTGCATAAAATCTTTATTAACAAATAAAATTCGAGCACAACATTTCAGAAAATATGAAATTCACACAAATATTACTCCCTAATGTTTGCAATTTGATTACTTAGCAAACGTTTTGTGAAATTGCAAAAATTACCATACAAAATTGTCATCGGCCTTGAATTACTGAGTATAATTTACTATTTTTTTCCAATTTTCAAGTTTAGACAAGACAAATTGAACCATAACTTTGTTCAATGTCGCTCATTTTTTTTACAGGTTGCAAAAGAAAACAAATCAACTTTACCATCAGCCGGCCTATTTATCATTAGATACCACTCATTCTATGGTAA